TAAAAGATTAAGACAAAGAAAATTTTCATCTTTGAATTGAAAACACAGCTACAAAAGTAAATATCTTTACTCAGTTTTGCTTATGCCAAAACTTACATACACAATTGAATACACTAGACTGCCTCAGAGTTTGAGTTTCAGCGTCTTAACCTATTGTTTAATGATTTTGAGTCAAAGTAAAGCAAAATGTACAAAAGACTTAAGAACATGAATTGAACTCAATTTGAGTCCTTGAAAAATTAAGGATTTCCCTTTTCTATCATAATTGTAAATAGTACCGTGTGAGAAGGTTGATGGAACCTGATAAATTTAACCAGTTCAAAGCTCAGACACCTTCATTCAGTTGGTGGGTGTTTAAAGTTTTCCATGTCAACATCAGGTTAAGTTGGTTTAATTTCCCACAGTTCCTATAAGAATTCAAAGATGATCAATTGCAAGGAAAAAATATTTAATATCAGGAAAGCATTCAATGATCAAGACTGCAAGTCAGCCCTCATGTGGTATTGCAGAGCTCATAGATTGTATCAAATTAAGAAGTAAAGAGGTAAAGAAAAGGAATGAGACAGAACAGAAGAAAAGAACCAAATCCAATTAAATCAATTCGAAGAAAAAAAGGTAAAAACTAACTGAACTGATAATAATAATAATAATAATAATAATAATAATAATAATAATAAAAAAAGGAAACAAAATGAAGGGAGTTTAGATAAAGAATAAAAGAGAGAGGAAAAAGGCTTTTTCAATCTCATTTCTATTTAGAAGGTACTCAAACAATATAACAGCGAAAAAAAAAAAAACAACAATAACAACAACAAACCAATACACAAACAAAATCACTTCAATACTTACCAGCTCCTTTACTCTGTCATACTGTAGGTACTTAGGAAAATCAGTGGAGAGTTTCCTTGCTGTTAATCTTTTTTGTTTACTTTCCAGTTCATCTATTCTCTCAGTAAAATGGGAGTATGCTGGACAGGTTACAGCAAGATCCTTCAAGGTAAAATTCAATCTGAAAATATAGATAGAGTTGAGGTGTCACAGTTCTCAGAGGAAGTGAAAAATTATGCAAACTCAGGGAGGTAACTAATGAACCAAAGCTTATTTCATCTTCTATTTCTTATTCAGTTTGTCCAACTCACCGTTTCTCCACTGTCAAGTAAAGGACTATGTCTGTCTTTTGCTCAAAAAGATGCAAGACTGTTTCAATGAAAGCATCAGTTAAGGAATCATCATAAATCACTAAGAATAAATAAAGGAAATTTAAAGTAAGAAATTGGAAAATCAAATGAACTTCTTTCCCTGCCAGTGAGATCCAGATGGAGAAGGAATGAATATTAATTACTACCCCTGAGGAACAAAAGATCACTTCTGACACTAACCATCTGCAGCCAACACAACTGTGATAGCTTTAAACAGCTCTTGATCTTCTATTGTCCAACAGAAAGAACCATTCTCTGTAACATAACAACAAAAATAATGATGGATTGCAAAAAATACTATTGAATAATCACACCCAATTCTACCATGTTTTCAGTCTCCCCTTGAAGAAGAAGAAGATGAGTGGTCATGATAATGGGTTTTTTTAACATAAGAAAGTTGGGCAGAGAAACAATTTTCCAATTGCTCGATGTCTAGAGCAAGATGACAAATAATGTTTTATTTTTCTGGTGCAAAGGAACAGAAAGCCAAAACCTGTTGGCAAAACAGTTTGGGTCCTAGGCAAACTGAGATTTAGCAAAAATATGTATATAATTGTATAAGAAATAGATGAAAAAAAAAACCAATGCAATCCTAATTAATTTACTGTATTTTTGCCACTCTATTAAGAATTAACATTACAACTAAGTTCATCTCCTTACCAGAGGGTAATCCTTTTTTCTGCCAGTCCAATTCATGAACTGTAACAGCTTCACTGCCTAAGATGAAAAAAAAGACGAAAAAAAATTTTGGTTTTATCCTCTGAGCTGATAAAGTAAATTGACCACCATAAAGAGTTTGTATAGGTGATGTTTTGAGCATGAGCTCTTTGACAGAGGTCTGTTGATGGGCTAATGCATCAAACAATTCAAAATTTAAATGTCAGCCTACTTAGCTTTCTTTCTTGGTGTGAATGAGAAGAATTTGAGGAATTGATAGCTGAGGGATAAAGTTTCCTTCTAATACCAATCAAAGTTACAATCATCACAACAACAATGGTGTGTAAGGCAAGTTGAAAAAACTCTGTCAAAAATGTAGGAAATATGACATCCCGTGCATGCCTCATTATCATGTTCTCAAATATGGAAAACATGGACCAAACAGAAGTTTCATATCTCATAGACACTGCAAAAAGACTGTAATCATCAAAGCAAAAATCCAATAAGGTATGACTATCTTGAGTTCAATCACTTTACATCATTCTCTTACTCACCATATCTAAAAAGATGAGAGTTAGCTGCTATGTTGGCATTGCAGTTGCTGAGAATGGTGTCTCCAACATCTAAATATTACAAAATTCCATAAAAATTAGACTTGTGTTGAAAATGTTTTAAGTAGTGTCAGCTGTGTTCATTGGTCTTCAAGGCAATAGGGAAGTTTGAAGGACCCACAAGAAGACAATTAAGTTGATCTTAAAACAGATTCAGCCTATGCTTTATACCTTGATGAGAGTACACCTGAATATATAAACATACTTATTTTTTTTACTTTACTTGCTACTTCAATTATGCAACATCAACAACTCTATACCTGTACAGAACAGTCTCTTTGCCACTCTTCCCAATATGATGCTACATAAACCGAGACCTGCTCCAAGCTCCAACCCAAAACATCCATCAAATCTGATTGGAAGAACATATACTGTATTTACCAGACTCTAAGTCAATCCTGTGTATAAGTCAATATATATTTGGTAATTATGCTTCTATTCACAACACCAATCAAAAGACAGAAAAAGCAATACATCAGACACATGTTATAGTAAACACTATGATGCAATAAACAAATTTATTGAACATTCCTCAAATACTTTCTTTTGATTCTTTCTGTTACTGTTTTGGCCCTACAAAATAGTACTTAATATATAATATACAAGTGCTATAAGAAGACAACTCACCTTTCTTCATTGCAAATCAAGAAATCACTTAATAGGAGGGCCCCTCTCCAAACCTAGCAGCAACCATGAACATAAAAGAGAAATAATTCATGCTAGCTAAAACTTTCTTAAAAAAAAAAAAAAAAAATAGAATACATGAATCAAAATAATAATGATACAAAATTAAGGAAAGAAAAAAAGAAAAAAAACAACACAAATCTTCAAGCAATTTTAAGACAACCAACATAAAAACAATGTCTTTTATTTATGTTTATTTCTTTACTGAGCTCAAAATTTACCTTCTCTCTTATTTCTATCTACAAACATTACCCTATCGACATTGCTGAATTCCTAGCAGTATGCAGGACACGTGTCATATGAACTTCGTAATAGACCTCGCTCACCATGGAGTCTCTGTGGCTCAGTGGTAGGGTATTGGAGCACAAAATCTGAAGGGTCTGAGGTTTGATTCCTCAAGGGGACTCAGAATTTTATCTTTGTCCCATGCTTGTGACAAGATGAAAAACATCTCTTTTTAATGTCTTATTCATTGTTAAATTTGAGAGATTTAAGGATAATTGGACTGTATCTCTATCTCCTCTGATTCAACTTTCATCACTTCATCTTTGAGATTTTTTATGGGGTACATATCAAAATCTGGGTACAAGACCTGAATCAAAAATGTCTGAACTATATGTATTCATTCTTGCTTTTCTGTAAATGTATTCAAACATATGTAGAGTTTGGCCTTAGGGTGTTACATTATGGGTATATCACAGAAATTCTAAGAACAGTACCTGCAGCCCTACATCTTCAATCCCAGTGGAAAGATGATGTTCTGGTGTTCAAGTAAAATAGGGAAGAGAGAGAGAGAAAAACTTTAATCAGCTTATAATGAATTGTAATATCATAATTTCAATTTTATATGTGGATGTAATGGTAGTGTAGTGTAAAAATAAACTGATTTATTGTGGCATGATACCTACTCCTGTGTAGGAACTGAATTTGGAAAAAAGCAAACTGATAGATTTAAATATTTTTGGGTGGAGAAAAAAGCAATTTTGAGTTCAAAATTGACACAATGACATTGTACATAAGGGTGTTGTGGTTCATTTTTCATCATTTTCTTACCAGTTTTATTATAATTTTGTTGTCCCTTAACTGGGATAATAAAAGATTACAATTTGAGACAAAGTAAAACTGGTTAAAAAAGGTAAAAAACATAACTTCATGTACAATTTTAGATTAACTTTCTACCTATTGTAATAACTTCACAGTCATCTCTGGCAGAGAACTTTCTTGGAGGTGACAAATCTCCATCTTCATCAGTTTCATGAAATCCCATGTGATGGCTTCTCCCTTCCATCTCATTGGCAGAGGTATTCTCAGGGGATCTGTATATTGTAAACCTGGTAAATACTATCAAAGGAGTTGTTTGAAAATTAAGCTGGGTATCACAAATAATATTATTTTGCATCTTAATACCTGTGTTTGATTACTCCCTTCCCCTGAATACCAGATACAGGAGCTCATGTGGGTAGGATCCCCTGATTCCCAAACCCTTGTCTTCTGTATTTGGCTCTTTATCGTGAGCACCTGGCAGATTTTTAGTCCCAAAAAGTTCCTGCTTTCCCACCCTATCCAGTCCCATCTACTGCTCCCTTCTACCGTACATTCTCCCAATTCCAATTTGTGAAAAAAGTCACAAGGGCCAAATTTAGGTTCAATGACCATAGGTTTAGGTTCAATCATCATAGTGCATCGCGACGGGTAGAAACAGACAAAGACCCGAAAGCAAATATTGTGAGATTTCCCATCCTCTCTTTCATCCCTTTCTCTGCATCAAAAGTTTTTTCAATCGCATTTTTTCTTTTACCACGAAGCTATTATCATTACTGAATGGAGTGCTAGTAGTTGGTTGTTTCCATGATGAGCATATCCCTTATACCCCCAAGACTTTATCCTTCTTGTCAGCTCATACAATTGATTAATCATTTAGAGAAAAAAAAAAGGAAGAGTCAATTCCTGCTTACATATTCAAGCCCTACCTATACTGTTTTCCTCTACTTGGAAAAATGGTGTAAAAAGATGCACATCTGACGTGAACAGTTCCTCTGCGGCGGCCATCTTGAAATGCATAATGCGCCCTGGCGGGACTGGTACGAACAAAGATTTTGTGTAGCCTTACATGAATTAGTAGTTGAGGGAAAACTGCCATGGCGGACGAGTTATAGAACGCAAAATGAACATATCTCAACAAATTCTCGCACTGGATGCTCGATACAATGCTTATCGGGTTCCAAACAACCCCTCATACCGTGAGTATCATTAAGCTGTAACGAGGCGTTAAGTATACGTGTTGTTTGACTGTTGTGATTGTTTGCTGAAAAGTTGGACGTCAGATATCAGAACTGTTGTCCTAAACAGCTGATTGATGCCTATTTGTTGTAGGTACTTTGTACATAAGAAGAAGAAATCAGCTACTACGGGAAAACGCCAAAAGAGAGGTAAACGACATAAGTTTATGTAGGTTTTTTTAAACTTATTGTTGGCAAGAGGGAACGACAAATGAACTGACGCTTTTCCAGAGAGTACCAATGTCATTCCCGTGACTCACTTAACCTGGTGACTGTTAGGTCTTGTTGGCAGCCGTAGATTCCTTTTCTTTGACTAGGCATTTCACTATTAATGAACATAAATATGGAAGCAATCAGTTCGCAGTAATGAACACTACCTATGTATTTAAGAAAAAAAATAAGGCCTGAGAAAATTTAAGATGAGTATAGGATTTGAACCTATGACCTCTACAGTACTGCTGCAGTGTTCTACCAACTGAGCTAAAGAGCAAACTGGGAGCTGGTCACTTTGTTGGTTTTTTAATAAACTTGTGAAGGGATTAACAAATGACTGTGACTATATATGAGAATCATATGTGTGAACTGTGTATCAAGAAATAAATATGAGAGCAATCTTGACAGTATGAAGTGAAATAAAAAGCAAAAATGAAATAAAAAGCAAAAGTGAAAAAAAATTCAGGTCTGTACAGGATTTGAACTTATGACCACTATTGTTATCATACAA